CCATCTGTGTATCCGCGGTCATAACTCATAACTGCCAATCGTAGTTTTGTTGAAATATGGATACATTTGGTCAGCCTTGAGGTACTTTCTAAAGCATTTATCAATTAAAATAAGCAAAGAATCATTCACGAGAGAGAGAGAGAGAGAGAGAGAGAGAGAGAGAGAGAGAGAGAGAGAGAGAGAGAGAGAGAGAGAGAGAGAGAGAGAGAGAGAGAGAGAGAGAGAGAGTTTACCATTTATTGTTCACATTTAACAATTATTGTAATTACGTTTCACGTTTGCAAAGTCATAATAGTTCAGCTGTTAACTTTTTAACTTCATGATAAATTTTTCGGCCAAATGACCTACCATAAAATAAAATGAATCTGTCCCAAGTCGAGTTCTGATATCGACAACATCTCTGCAGAACACATAGCGGAGGCAGTTTTACAATAAACCCTTCTGTATCAGAATTCCAACTAACGTTATTAATTATATTACCAGGCCAGCATTATTAATACAGTATGCAGTCGTTATTGCTCGATGGATCAGCACAGAGCTGGAAATAGAGTATAAGAAGTATACAAATTACGTGTATTTATTTACTTATATACTTGTATTTGTTCTTATGCACTTGAATTTGTTCTTATATACTAGTATTTGTTCTTATGTACTTGTATTAGTTCTTATTCACACATACACCATAGCAATAAGTTAAGAAATTTGCCAGGGACCATATTACAAAACTGGACCCTAGCAACTGATGTTGAGCCGGAAGTGAAACATGACCCATTTTACGGTGGTTTGTAAACAGTCATGTGAGTGTAGTTGGCTGGGTAAAGTGGGAGGTACAGACATGTAAAAGGTTGCCCCACTGTGAGGTTTTGGTAGTGAGGATTGGGCTATGTTGCTTTTAATATTTAATTAAATTATTGTAGAAGTCCCTAAAAGGCTTGATTTTGGTTTGGAAGTTGTTTTAGTGAAAGTTAGATGCACAGCTCCGAGCCCCCAGTCAGCAAAGCCGACAGTTAAATGATTAAGGATACAAAAAAGGGTGAAGTTCAATGATACCAATTGAGTTCAATAATTACCTATTTAATGATAATTAAATGGTCAATAATTAGAATTTCCCAAATACACTTTTTCCGCTAGACCCTTTTCTAGACTATTGCATCATTTGATTCGTAGTGTGAAAGATTTCCACCTGTTCTTGTGCTCTACTCATCTGAGTTTTCCCTCTCGTCCTCTCTGACTCCTCAAAGTTCCCTCTCCTTCTCCTCTATTCCCTCCTATAGATCCCTTTCCTCCTCCTCCCCTTATATCCTTTTCTATGGCGACTGCACGATGTCGACTCCGACTGCACTGTCAGTCTCACATCCGTCTCCCTCTTAGAGAATCGGGACTACTAACTTGCACCGGAAGTTCTGTCCCCAAAAAGCTTTCTGTCAAAACACTTGGATAGTACAGTATTTTCATCAGCCCTCTCATCTCACACTACACACAGCCTATCATCAGATAAGGCTATTAAAATTCACCGGTCATGCATTTATTCACACCGAAATATGCATACATTCTTGTATAGTAAAACATAGCATAATAAAAGCACGGTATTAATTACTCTTATATATGCAACAATAAATTGCTTAACATCAGTACATACTCATAATTCCATCACACAAACCAATAAACGACAATCAGACGCATATCTTTACATCACAATTCATACCAAATATACACATATTCAAATATCCAAGCTCTGATATATTCAGACAGCTATTGTAACTAATCGTATATACATCAATCATTTTCCAAAACTCCAATTCAAACATGCGTAAACTCTAACATAACGCATTACTGAAATTACTGGTTAGTACGAAGTAACCTACCAGCGAATTACAATATTAACTCAAAAGAACTAGCTATCTACACAATTCTCTACGTAAACTCATATTCATGTCTTAAATACACTTATAAACGAAACACGAAAAGGTAATTCTACATGCTAAAACAATCCCAGTAATTGAGTATACATGCTATAAATACTTACAATTATGACGCCGTAATGTTGTGCAAAAATCGAGCAAATAGCTTGCTGACCTTGTCGAAGCTTTTCCTTCTCTTACAATTCTTGTCCCAAGATTCCCGCAAAATTATGAGTGGTTTTTCCCGGAGTATACTTAATTCTTATAACGGCAGGACGTACTTCTCACAATCTGTTCCGGTATACTGATAAATTTCTGAATGTTGTTAGCTATAATTTTTATCTAAGATCTGATTCCACCCTCTAGCTTAACTCCGACTAAATTTAGTTGTGGAATGTCCCAATCAAGCTAAGTTGACAATGTCTTCTGGCTTGTGTGTCTACGTTGCGGGTGAGAACACGCTCGTTCACCCTGCGGGCTTCCTTTTGATCCATGGACCAATGTTTTAATGCGTGGGTGAGAGGACTACAAGCTCTTTGACTGGCTGCTATTCTATAAAATGGGTGACTGGCGACTTTAATAATCGATTAACAGCTTGTGGCGATGTCTACACGTCAAACGCGGTAATAATCCAAGTTTATATATTTCCTGATACCAGGACTGCGAAACGTGACAAGCCATGAAGAATATAAGTTACTGACCATGCACATCCACCTTCACAACGCAAGATTGATAAATTTCAATATGGATAGGTAATGCTAACTTACACACTTGGGCATTATCCAACAAATCATGTCACAAAAATGCCATCAAACATAAGTAGTAGATAACTTTTATTTCCTGAGATACTATGACAAGCCAAAAAAAAGTTTAATTTTTCATAAACTAATATGAATATGCTCTTCACTCCAGATCAAAAAGGTACAACTGATACAACTATACAACAAAAGGTACAACTGATACAACTATAAACTCAAAGTTATTGCCAAATCTTTTTTTTTCTCGAACACAGCATCTGACCGCATATTAACTTAACCAATACGATATATCCACGAAAATTTTTTTTTTCACTTTGAATAATTGACACTGTCAACGACTTTATAAATCCACTTGCCTGATGATCGGGACAAGCCAACATTTAGCTTGGGCCAGTTTAGGTTTGTAAAGTCCTTTCCCGAGGGCAAGGGAATTGTTTAGAAGTGAAGTAGAGAGAGAGAGAGAGAGAGAGAGAGAGAGAGAGAGAGAGAGAGAGAGAGAGAGAGAGAGAGAGAGAGAGAGAGAGAGAGAGAGAGAGAGAGAGAGAGAGAGAGAGAGAGAGAGAGAGAGAGATAAGAGAGAGAGAGAGAGAGAGAGAGAGAGAGAGAGAGAGAGAGAGAGAGAGAGAGAGAGAGAGAGAGAGAGAGAGAGAGAGAGAGAGAGAGAGAGAGAGAGAGAGAGAGAGAGAGGTCGTATCCAGTTCGTAATACTTTGTGTTCAACTTTTTATACTCGCCATCTCTCCTTATTGCATATATCAGAACCTTTATTTAGGGTTAATATGCACCGCATTCGTCTATTATTTACTTGCCAATAATTGTATTTTAAAACTTATGACCCTTTATTTCACAACAGACACTGCCAAAGTCTATATCTAGCATGTTGAAGTTAATGTCATGGTCAGTCTCGAATTATCTAGCGTATAAAGATAACACTAATTATCTTAAACGTATCTCACACAATATGGGTATGGACACGAACTGTTTATATCACCTGCGTCCTTTCCCAAAACAAACAAAAATGATCCAAAACTGACATTCATTTTACCCCAAAACAAATCAGCTGAAACAAGAAGTATAGAGACGTATCTCTTTCTGGTTACATTTGTTTCGATGTGTTTAACTTTTTTTGAGGTTATTTGCTTTCTCACTGTTATATACATACATACATACATACATACATACATACATACATACATACATACATACATACATACATACATACATACATACATGCATGCATGCATGCATGCATGCATGCATGCATGCATACATACATACATACATACATACATACATACATACATACATACATACATACATACATACATACATACATACATACATACATACATACATACATACATACATACATACATACATACATACATACATACATACATACATACATACATACATACATACATAGGTTCTATCTCCCATAGGTTTTATACAATTCTTGGTTTTACATTGCTGAAAATTTACTTAGAATTGGCACCACATAGCCATTCTTATATTCACGTGCCGTTAAATGCTAATATATTTATATCATTTCTTTCTTAACTGTGGAAGAATTTTCGAAACCCATTTCACTCATGATTACATTTAGTAATAAGGTTATTATCTTCAAGGGTTTTGTGCTATTATTGGTTTTAAATTTTTTCCTTTTAATTTTAATTGGCACCATATAGCCGTTGTTCTCTCTAGGCGCCATTAGACGCCAGAACATGCACACACAGCATCCCATTCTTAATTTTGAAAGCACGTTAGAAACATATTTCCCTGTTCATGTTTACATTTGTTTGGAGTATGTGTGCCAATATTTGGTTGCTTCATTTTGGAAATTTACTTTTGATAGCCACGATATAACCATTTTGGTGCTGAGATGTTGCTGAATGCTGATACATACATACATACATACATACATACATACATACATACATACATACATACATACATACATACATACATACATACATACATACATACATACATACATACATACATACATACATACATACATACATCCATCCATCCATCCATCCATCCATCCATCCATCCATCCATCCATCCATCCATCCATCCATCCATCCATCCATACATACATACATACATACATACATACATACATACATACATACATACATACATACATACATACATACATACATACATACATACATACATACATACATACATACATGAATGCAGGCATGCATACATTTATACAGTTCTCTTTAAATGTTTACATTTAGTTGGAAGCTGTTGTGGTTTTAGTGTAATTATTGGTTTAAAGAATTTTAGAGCTTAACACTTTTATTTGGCACTATTATTTACTCCTTGAAGACCGCTCCGGTGGCCTAATGGTTCGGGCGTCTGCTTCAAATGCGGGAGGTCGCAGGATCGAACCCATGCCGAGTCACACCAAAGACGTTTAAAAACGGTACTAGCAGTTGCCTCACTAGGTGCTAAGCATTGAGAAGTTAGTGTTAGGATTGGCCGCCCTGTTGTCAGGATCATGTATATGGGTGGGACATCCTTGATACATGTCTGCGGCATAATGCCCCATTGCTAGAATTTGCTCTTAACTGTCACTGCAGACATCAAAGTAAAAGGACTAAAAAATTCTTACAAATCTAAATCACACACACTGTCTGTCTGTCTCTCTCTGTATATATATATATATATATATATATATATATATATATATATATATATATATATATATATATATATATATATATATATATATATATATATATATATATATATATATATATATATATTGCCCGGAAAACAAATTTGGGTATTCTTGAATTGCATTTTTGTTATGTTGTGTTATATAGTTCCACTGCTTTTAGTCAGCGAAACCGGTCACATGTGGACAAGTTAAACCGAAATTAGCGTTCTTGTAAAATTTACATGCTTAATTTGCCAAATATAAGTAATTCAAATTATACCATATTCGGCGTTTGTTCCGATATTAGTTTTAATAACTCAAAAATAAATTTAATTTACGTATTGGTATTTATAAGTAAAATCTGACTGTGTCGTCCTTCTTGAGAAAATGATCCATATATTTCGAAAGCGCCTGACTATTGACCATTTCGCATCATTGCTGCACCGTACATAGTCATGTTCTTTTCTTTTTTCTTTATTTGTCTCTCTGTCTGTCTGTCTCTTTCTATCTGTTTGTCTGTCTATCTGTCTTTCTCTTGAGGGGGAGGAGTATGAAAATATACTCCCTATTATTTGAACATCTGGAAAATAAACCATAGAATTTGAATATGTAGAAATCACTGCATAAGCTTTGTATGCCTTGACTGACAGAGGCATTGCTGTATATCACCTTTGATTACCTTAGACAACAGAGATTTTGTTGTATTTTTGATGGACCCAGATGTGAATTTTGGGGAGGGATAGGGATGGATAACACTGTTTGAGATAGGATAGGGCATATCACAAGATTTTCATGGTGGGATAAAAATAATACAACACAAACGCCGATAAATCTATGCATTGAAGCGTGTAAGTATTTTTTGATACCAGTTCTGATAATAGCACCCTATCTAGTGAAAATATTTGTAAAATAATAATAAAACTTATCTTAAAAAAAAGTTATTTTCAACCTAATAACACAAATTACACCCAAATAATGGGTATGGCGATGGATAGCCCTATGACTCCTTCTTACGCTTCCCTTTTCATTAGTAAATTAAATTTTTTATCTTCGCAACGAAAAGTTTAATCCATCTGTTTGGTTAAGAATTTTAGATGACATATTTATGATCTGGAAACATTCAACTGAAAAACTGAAAAAAGTCATTGATCGCTTAAATTATTTTCAACCAACGATTACCTGCATGGAGTAATAAATACACTCATAAAAGAAACTTACTGGATTCATAAGTTAGATGCCTTGTGTTGTAATGGCCTTAATACCAATGTACTATATAAAATTGTATAATATATTATTGTTTTGTTATAATTTGATAAATTATGTATCCTTTAAAACAATATATTTTATTTTTTTTATTTTAAAGATTTTCATTGGTAATTTGGAACATCAAGTTCAACCTAACTCAACCTAAACTGACTGAGAGAAAGTAGTCAGAATAGTAGTTCACCAAAACGAAATAAATAAATAACAACAAATGGTTCAAATTTTGTTTGAATGAATTACTTGTTTTGGTCATCTATATTATCTATATTATATTGAAAATAACGATTTTAGTTAATGACATTTTTAATGCTAATTGCATATGAATGGGTTGTACTGTAAGGAAGAGTAATGTATAATGCGTAGTACTATTTCATTCATAAATTCCATTGTCGCTGCTATGGAAAAGTTCAAGTAAATATCACGTGATCAAACGAGGAAATTGGTACTTTTGAAAGACGAGGCTGATCTTGTTCATAATCTGCTAGAATTGGAACAGCTGATTTTGGTTACTACAATAATTATTTTGAAATAACAATGATTAATATTAAAACCTCAAATTGCATTGTATTGCTACTGCGTATTGTTACGAACATGTTATATAATTACTTGTGTGCTAATTTTAAATTCTTTTTTATCATTTTATTTTTGTATCATTGCACTATATTGTAATGATTATTTTCACGGGATTTGAAACTTTTTAAAAGAGATATTATGTTTGTATATAAAGTATTATGACTCGCAAAAACACGATTTTATGTTGCCATGGTTTGTCGATTAAGTAAACACTACGCAAAAACGATTGGTCATTGTCAAGGTCATTTTCCTGGACTGCGTGAAATTGCATTGTTCATTTCGCTATTTGATGATGAAATAGCCTCGCTTTCCATCGTTCTTGCCTAAAATGACGTCTTAGTTCCATTAAAAAATATCTAGATACCCGTGAAATATTGAGTCGTACAATATGTCTTCAAGAAGAAGGATATATTTCTATTAGGTGCCGTAAAGATTTGTAGTTTTACATCTTTGGAGTTCCAGATGTTTTATCACAGATGACAGCTTGTTCAGAAGTTCATCTATTTTTATAATATGATAATTTATTCCCTGGAGACTGTAGAACTATACAAGTGACAAAGACATTCGATGGAAATTTATTCTGAATTGAAACATTACAAGTTGTGGTTCAACGTGGAACTTTTAACATTCGTACAAATACTTCACCTGACGTCATCATCCTCCATCTTGGGACGTCATCAAGATTAGAACCTGGACAAAGTTAAAACTATTTAGTGATAAGACTTGTATTTTTCCATTACTAGGATAAATGTTTGGATTGTCTTCACAAACTGTAAGTCCTATTTCTATTTTCATCTTTTCACCCTGTTTTCTAGGGAAAAAATATTTTTGTTAAAACTTACAAAGCTTGTTGGTTTCACTCTTTTCTTTTGTTACTTTTAAATGAGCCTACACGAAACTATTATCTTTTTGTGTACGCGGAATCATTTATTCTTAAAGTATTAAGTATTGCTGGTCATGGAATCCACATTGAGTGGATTAAATTAATTTAATATCATTCGTTGGAACTAGTGTAGTAACAATTATTGAAAGACACTGAGATATATTAATAACTGTACAGATTTACAGTGAGCGATTCAAAGACATTTTGGATTTACCTTGAATTCAAGTACAGGACATTCGGATCTAAAAATACGGTGATTCTTCTGTGGCGTTGATATGTTAGGAAATCATTTTTTCATGCGGAATACCTTTGCAACGTGCTAGGATTCCTTGGGATTGGTATAGCTTTTAGTATTTAAGGAATTCATTAACCATTGTAAGTTATTTTAATTTTTTCAATTTATATTTTAGAGAAATAAATATATATTTTTAGTTATACAAAATGGTTTGGTTGTCACTGTTTCTTGTTACGTAATTTCATCCCATAGCTCGTAACATTCATAAAGTTTCGCTTCAGAGTTTGATTTTACATTTCTTTATGCTTTAAATCTCATGGTCTTAAAGATGCATTTCACGAGAATTCGATTTATTTGAGTATATTTTAATATTTGATGCCTCTTGCTTGATTTTTTTGTGTGTGAAGAATCCATGCTTATGCAGTGATAAGAATAATACACCGGCTGTTGGACTGGGTGGCAGGAGGGGTTGACAGGTCAAAGTTGTGAAAAAGGAATTTGATTAATTGTAATGATTTCTGTTCTTCATATTAAATTGTGTGGTTGTCATCATTGTGATGCTATTAAGTTCCGCAACAACGAATTAGCTCACGTTTAGTTAAGAGGCATACGTTCATAGCTAACGCTTATGAAAGATATCCACGTTAATAATTACCTATAGTTAAGAGACATACGTACATAATTAAGTATAGGTAAGAGAGATACGTTCATTTTTACGTATAGGTAAGATACATTTGTTCATAGCTCACGTATAGGTAAGAGACATACGTTCATAGCTAACGTTTAGGAAAGAGACATACGTTCATACTTACGTATAGGCAAGAGACATACGTTCATAATTACGTATAGGTAAGAGATATAAGTTCATAGCTCACGTTTAGGTGTGAGAGATACGTTCATAGTTACATAGAGGTGAGAGACATACGTTCATAGCTCACCTTTAGGTAAGAGAATACTCACCTTTAGGTAAGAGAATACGTTCATAGTTACGTTTAGGTAATAGCTCATACGTAATACGTTCACAGCTCACCTTTGGGTAAGACATATACGTTCATAACTCACCCTCAGGTAAGAGAATACGTTCATAATTATATATAGGTAAGAGACATACGTTTATAGCTCACCTTTGAGTAAGAGACATACGTTCATAGCTTATTATAGGTAAGAACCTTACGTTCATAATTACGCAATGGTAAGAGACATATGTTCATAGTTACGGAAAATTGAGGATGTCTGCTGACACTTTTATTTAATCATGCACAAATTTTGATAAAAGTATGTCCCACTGCCAATTTCTAGTTTCATTCGTCTTTCTCATTTATACTTCTAGTACTACATTGTAAGCATTTGATATAATTGGAAAACCTCTAATTTGCTTGTCGTGCGTTATATCGGCATTTCTGCATAGCTGTACCATAACATAATTCATGTACACGAGGTTATCATCTTTAACTTATATACTATGACAGATAATTAAAAATTTATTATTCGATAATTGTAATGGCACACACACGCACTCATACAGACAGACAGACACACATAAGGTTAACTTTTTTCTTCATCAGAAATTAAAAATTGATCTTTAATAAAAAGTTTTCTTTTTATTTTAATTTCATTTTAGTTACGACTCCCTCTTTCTAATTTTTGTAGTGATTGTCCAGACAGTTCTCCACAACTCAGACATCAAATTTGTTCTTTATGTAAAATATACAATGCATTAACATACGTAATGTATAAAATGGTAATATCATATGCAATTAATACAATGTTATAACCATATGTAAATTTTTGCAATGGTATTAACATAAGTAATGCTTGCGATGCTAATTTTAAATTTTTTATACAGTGACTGCGTTTTGCCGAAGAAAGCATATTGCAGGCTTTAGAAGCCAGTCTTCGGAAATTATTGCATTTCACCTCGACAACACGTTAATGCAGAGGTTATTAAAAGTCGGGGTCATATTTCAGCCATGCGATTTCACTAAAAATGGACACAATTTTTCTTTTGATAGAATGAAATGCAAAGAAAGGAACAACGACGTTGCTATGACAACACTTGTCATACTCACGTGTAATTTTTGAAAGACAAGGAATATTCATGGTTTAACCGCAACAACCATTTTTATATATTTAAATAATAATCATAACAATCATAACATAATCCTATAATATTATTATATATAATGTATACAATGGCATTAACATATTTAATGTACTAAATCTATATAAATGAATGTGTTTGTGTGGGTGTGTGTCTTTGTTTTGTTTACTGTTGCAGGTATGCCGTTCTCATTGACTTGCTTCGTCATATTGACTTGCTTCGTCACATAAACTCTGTGTACAGTAATCTTGCCTTGTATGAGTAAGCTTGATACGACTGAATTGTTACCTTTATTCCACAGATGTATTGTTCACGATAAATAATATCGTTCACGATAGTTTTGTGTGGAGGTTTTCCAAATTCAGATAACATGGGAGGGTGGAGAGGGGTGGGAGAGAGGGGAGAGTGCATACATTTCGGGTATAGATGAATTCCTCGAAGACACCGGATTCTTCGGAACACTTAGTTTTATTTCCTCTATTCACAAATATATTTTTAAGTGTAATTTGCTATGGAAAGGGTACTTGCAGGTTTATTCCGTTCTGTTGTCCCCACAGCGAAACTGCTACAGCGAACTCTTTTTATCCGTCAAGCTTTATAAATGAAAACAGTGTACTTTGATATTTATGAGAATAATATAATTTATCTGAACAGGTTTATACGGCAAAAAATGCACGTTATTCAACTTTACGGTTTTGTCACATAGATGATGGTCCTCTCCATGCTTTGTTTTTCATTGGGAGAAAACGGAAGATAATAAGATTCTGTAAGAAAATAATAAATTAACAAATACATACCCAACCATGCATTTTTTTTTTAGAGACAATTGTAAAGATTCATGATTATTTAAAAGAACCAATACTGCAAGTTTCTGTAAAATGCAGCTCATATCAATGAATTTAGTCTGGAATGGGACACGATGTATGTTGAGGAGAACCAATTCATATTTTTTATGGACTAAATGCTAGTTTTATGACTTTCAACAATGTTTAACCTTTAATCGCAAACTAGACATAAATCACATCATATTCTCTATTTCACTAAACTCATAGTACATAAAACTGTCCAAGAAATGGGAACTGAAAAAAAAACTATCATTGGTAGCGATATTTTCTGGCGTTGATGAGCATATACAATTGATAAAGTATTGTTGTTGTTGTTGGGCTTAACGCCATTTTTCAGCACACGATAGGCTATTCATGGCGGCCAGTATTAATGGTGGAGGAAGAAACCGGGAAATCACCGGAAAGAACCACCGACCCACGAGAAGCTACTGGCAAGCTTTCTCACATATCCACATTCGCCGAATCCTAGACTCGAACTCACGCAGACAGAGGTGAGATGGCAGTGATCCGTAACGGACAGCGCTTTAGACCACTCGGCCACTCGGGGCCCCCTGATAAAGTATCGTTTCTATCTTGTTTAGTTCCGATGGGACATATTGTTACTCTTTATAATTTCTTATTATTCTCTGTAATATAGTTACCCTCCTTTTCTATTTCCTTCTTCTCACCTTTTCTTTATCACAATGCTATACAATATCATCAACATTGTCGTTGTCACTGTGTCCTCAGTATTTACCAGTACGGCTGTTCATCACCATGGAAACGTGGAAGCATTAGGAGTGGTAAAAAGAGGAAAAGAAAACAACAGCTATAGTAGTGGTGGTGGCAGAAGTAGTGAAGTATACACAGCAGCTGCTGAAGAATTATCATTATTAATTGACTGGATGGTGTTTAGCAGCACATCATCACTTGAAACACAGTTTATTATCCAGGCAACGAAGAGGAAGTGATTTTGTCAACAAATAATTTCTTCTTTAATCAACAAATACATTTTTCGATAAGTAGTGATCATTTAAGAGACATTTACAGTATTGTGATTAAATACCAGAGCACACACAGTATATGCAGAGCATCATATCACTACAAAAAGGAATATATAAATCTGATTTGAAGTTGAGTTGTAAACTTTATAGACAAAGCTTGCAACTCATCTTCTCCGAAAAAGAGCCAAAACAAAAGACAGATAAACAAGTAGAAAACGCTACAAAGATAAATCCTTAGATATAAATTTAAACATATAAATTTTGTCAGGGGTCAGATGGTTATCAATATTATGTTGATGATCGACGACTAACTATAAGTGATAGCAAGGACTGATTATAAAATAGAAGTAAATAGTTATTTATCAAATCTATTTATACACAAATGTTATTTTACATGCGAAGTAATAGATTTTTAAGGAAAAACTAACTCGTGAACAGGGTCAGGTTTTGAACTCAAATAGAAGTAAATAATTTTGCTTACTTCATAGAAACATGTAAAAAAAAACCCCGGGTATGCATGATTATTGTTTACCACTATGTCACTGCAGATACAAAAATTGTGAAGTGCCGATTTCTAGTTAAGTTGTGAAATTTAGAGGAAAAACTTGCAACCCATCATCTCCCAAAAACTAACCAAAACAAAAGACAAACAGATAAACAACTGGAAAATTTTACAAAAACAAATCTTTAGAAATAAATTTAAACATATACACTTTGTCAGGGGGAGCATGTGACCACTCTCCGCTTGATGCTTTGGTTATTCGTTTTCTGGGAGCTGATCGACCATTCTATTATTTCGCAGATAAAAAAAGCAAACAATAAAACAAAATATGAAGTTAAATGATGGAATAACAGGAACCTGACCAGGAATACAGAACAAAAAACATACGAGCTTTCGTATGTAAAATATAACATTTCAATCAACTCCATAAACAAATGAAACTGAATATGACAGTTGAATGAATCACTTTCTCGTAGAAAAAGATTTACAAGATTTAAGCGATTAAATTAATCGTTCACTAAAACCAAGAAAGCAGTTTATTACAGAGACGAATGAATGGTCCAAGTCAAATCGCCAACATGTCAGCATAACTTGTATGCATCCGGTCATGTCGAAATCACAGTTGGTGACCGGTTAGCTTTGTCCTAACTTTTCTTTTTCTTTCTCTCTTTCTGCATCCTTTTCGGGTCATTATCCATCTTTGCTTCAGTTTTTTTCTGTTCCCATTTGTATGGAACAGGTATAGAGCTATTTTTCCTGCAAATAAAATATAATACGCAACCTAACTATTTATCAGTTTTTTCCTTCTTGGATGGAACACTATTCCCATTCTTTTTGCATCAGCTATAGTCTTATCTTAATTTAACAGAACTAAGCCAATATGGTCAGTTTACAACCAGATACATATATTCAAACTTATTATCATTAATGTCAATTCTTGCTGCTACTCGCATTCCTAACTGAAGCCATAACAATGTTAGACCTCTTAGAAAACCTGTTACATCCCACTGTGAACTGCAAATCATTAGCTAAACGATTTCGGTCGATAGATCCGATATCTCGATCAAAAAACCAACACTATAAATTAATCTATGGATATCACGTCTTGTATTAACTTCAATACTTCAAATAAATCATATCCAATCATTTAAGACAGAAAAATTAAATCACACAATTCAGAGTATTGCATGAAATTCCTATGTTACATGATTTCCATTACATGGATACCAGTAAATCTATCAAGTTCATATCAATGAAATATTGAACGACATTCGTACAATACATGAATCAAATCCCATTCAAGGCAAATGTACGATTAACATCAGAACTCGATGACAATCGAAATATGAATACGAATTAATGAATGAAAATCATTACTTACTTACATTAATGAACATAGTGTATGTGATTGAGATGAAAGTTGTTCTTTATTGAGAATTGCTCTTGCTGTGAAGTGAACCTCTCAGGTTTTGGTTCTCTCACATTCTTCTAGAACCCGTCGATAGGACAACACAGACAGCTGAATTTCGCAATGGAAATGTCTTGGATTTCGTATGGCAATCCCCCCCGCCCCGATTAGATTGCTAAATCAGGATTAATTTCTCTAAACAACAAATTTTAATGCTCAAATCGAAGATAGAATAACACTATCTAGATGGCCGTTATTAATAAGTGTTCTGGAATATATAATTTTTATTTCAAATGGCGAAGATTTTCCCTAATTTTCTTTTGCTTGTCTCACCTTGCCAAATGCGCTACTTAAGGTCATTAAGCTAATATATCTGTCTGACCGATATCCGAACTGACTCTAGTTAAAATTAAATTATACTCCAAACAAGAGAGGTTAAGCATGGCAAGCTATTAAATTATTGCGAGCCTAGCTCATACGTCAAACCTAATGGTTACGTTTTAAGCTGACCACGTTAGAATGTATTACAAAACTATTTACAACCGCTCCTGTGGCCTAGTGGTTAGAACGTTTGCCTCAGATGCGAGAGGTCGTGGCTTCGATCCCCCGCAGAGCTATGCCAAAAACTAAAGAAAAAGATACTAACAACTACCTCGCTTGGCGCTCAGCATTAAGAGGTTACTGTTAGGACTGGTCGGCCTGGTGTCAGGATAATGTGACTGGGTGCGACACCATGCAACATGTCTGCGGCATGATGCCCCATTGCTAGACGTCACTATAAAGTGCCACATGACCGAAAAATTGTTAAAGCTACGTTGAAAATCCAAGTCACACCGAAATCACAAAAATACACAAAATTTCGCATTACAATTCTACAAGATAATAGGACTAGATGTTAGCACTCTTTAAAATGAATGAAAATGATACTGGTAAGAATAATGAAAATTATTTAAATAAATGGTCAGAAGTTGTTTTATGGACATCATTGTTGGTCAAAAAGACCGCCATTTCTTAACCATGGTGGTGAATTAGCAGCATACCATTTTGAAGTATTTGCGACATTTAATATTTAGTGATTTTGACAAATTCGTATACGAAAAGGTGCAATGATATTTGGTCTGAGCTTTACAGTAGGGCCCCGTGTTGCTGGTTGGCTAAGGCGATACCGTTTAAAGATCAGTCGCATCTTACATTTGTCCACGTGAGTTCGAATCTCGGTTAGGCCATTGTAGGAATGTGAGAAAGCTTGCTAGTAGCTTCCTGTGGGTAGCGGTCTCTTCCCAGGTTTTTCCCAAGTTCATTCTCTAACTGTTATGTACTGAAAAATGGCGCTAAATCCACAAAGCAACCCTTAAGCCATGTATTTGGGCCTAAAGACGCGGACAGATTAGATGATAATTTAGTAATATATTGAAGAGTCATTTTGAATCTAAGCCCATGACGGTGTATATGATAAAACATCGGTAGGTAAGATTTATGAACTGATCCGTACCTAATCTAATCTGATCCGTACCTAATCGAGCTATTGTAAAGCTTTTATCATTATTTATGAGTGGCGTAAAAGCATACATAAACAATAACAAAGTGGGGCTAAACAAAAAAGGAAACGATAAAATGAAGCTTATATATTGGAGAAAGCAAAACGCTTTTTCAATACATGTCTGCAGTCTTGCTAGACTTCCAGTTGAGCTTCTCATGCATCTGAATTCACACTGGCAGTCTGACAGCAGTTTGTTGGATTCAAGATACCAGATTAGTCTGTCGTTTATCATTCAATCCATGGTTCTGAAAATACAATTTATTAGTGCTATCGAGCAATAGTTGGTTGGAATTGTCGGCGAGGTTTTGTCAGGCATTAATGTTGGCTGGAAACATTCTTGATTCTCGATATGATGGCAGGAAGTCTCCCATTTCCTACATTTCACAGTTGATTAGTGCATTAAATACCGTATGCGTTCAGTGTTTCAGAGACCAACTGTACATAATATCAAGTCTTCTGTTGTCCTCATACTAAAAGTCCTTTGATGTCCTCATACTAAAAGTCCTCTGATGTTCTCATACTAAAAGTCCCCTGATGTCCTCATACTAAAAGTCCCCTGATGTCCTCATACTAAAAGTCCTCTGATGTCCTCATACTAAAAATCCTCTGATGTTCTCATACTAAAAGTCCTCTGATGTCCCCATACTAAAAGTCCTTTAAAGTCCTCATACTAAAAGTCCTTTGATGTCCTCATACTAAAAGTCCTCTGAAATGAGCCTGAAAGTCTTTAAGTGAAAGGTTTCTGGTCATTGTCAGCAGATTTAAAATTTAAAGTAAACTTTTTTGTCATAATTTTGAATCGGTAAAAGTCTTCAGAACTGTTCGCTAGCTATTAATGTTTTGGTAACGTTTCAGATCAATGGGTTTGCAATTTTTGGTTGGGTAGTGACCATTTTTTGGACTTCTTTTGATCTTATATTTTCTTATTTCTCTTGTCTCAAAAACGAATATATATATATATATATATATATATATATATATATATATATATATATATATATATATATATATATATATATATATATATATATATATATATATATATATATATATATATATATATATATATATATATATATATATATATATATATATATATATATATATATATATATATATATATTGTTTGCTGCTTTAGATCAGTACAAGAAAGATTAGGAAGATATAATTGTTTTTCTCCAGAAATATATTATATTCCCCCACTCCCCTACAAAAATTAAATGGACTCTCCCTTATACTATTTTTTTTTTAAAAAGATGTCTGATAGTGTCGATTTATTTTTTAATCTTCAGATATTTCTACACGGAGCTATGGTTTCACACATTTTTCGAGACTCGGAGGAAAATTATTTGTATCATGTTTCACGCGTTGAATCCCATTCTAGTTGTTCTTATTGAGGCAGTCTCTGGAGTATAAGATGTGGTCAAAATGGCGATTTGCACATCGGGTCTTGTCATTGCATGACGAGCATCGTTGCCCTCTTGTACACACTTGGAGAGCAATGGTTTTCATTTGCATCCAGCTTTGTGGAGGCTATACTTGTGACAGATCAAGCGGAGCAAAGGATTTGGAATGAACGGGGTCCACTGGGATTTAAAAAGAACGGGGTAAACTGGCATGTTTAGGAATCCTTCCTTGACCAATATAGGCAAAACGGCGCATTAGGTATTCCGAGTTATGTGACTAAAGTCTTCTGCAGAGCCGTTTAAGCCACGAGACTGACCGACGCTTCAACATGTGCTGAAAGATCTTTGTCGAGACGCCTGAGCGGGTACCTCCACAGACCTCTTTGAGCTAAGGAGAAATATCAGAGTAAGCATTGCAGATACACTTTACTAAGTAACTGGGCAGTTTGGCTCTCCAGCCAGGCCACGTAGTGTTGTCACAAATGGCGATAGCCTACGTAGCCTTTGGTTTTATTCCGATGACTGAACGGCATGATATCGAGGTCAGTATTTCTTGGCTCAAAACAGTTTTGTTCTTTTCACATAATAGAACACTACTGGTTCATCACTGGTGTTCCTCACCCGTCTGGAAGTCCGACAAGTGTACAGAGATAACGATGATTTATTGTGTTTGCATGTCAGGACTACACGGTGATATGGTATGAATAAATTAGAATTCTTCCTAGAGTGACCTTTGCAACGATCATCAGAGGTCATGCCCTTTGCGAAGTTTTACAATGCAGCAGTTTGTTTCGTTAATCATAGTAGTCGAAGTAGCGTAATGCATCGGAGTGGTCCTGGTCTCCACAGGGTCTTTTACTCCAGCGGTCCCCAACCTTTTAGTCGCCGCGGAACGGTCAACGTTTGATAATCTTACCTCGGCCCGCTGAGGGGTGGGGGTGACGTTGATTGTTTATAATTTAGTTCGTTCTGATTTAATAATTTTAATTTAATTGTATTTAAACATGCTTTCAAAATAAAATACAGTTACACCAAATATTAATATAAATAAATATAAATATAAATGAATATAAAGTGAATATAAACCCAAGAGAAATACACAACAATAAATAAAATGGAAATAATTTAATGTACCTTGGGCCGCCTGGTACCATTTGATCCTCGGACCGGTACCGGTCCGTGGCCCGGGGGTTGGGGACCATTGCTTTACTCTACCGAAACAGGACAATACCCTTAGCAAACAGGCTACCTCTGCTAGACGCCTCTTATGGCATGCAGGAGGGTGCAAGGGATATGTTTTACATTCCAATGCCCTGGTGAGGACGTATATTAACAGAAATGTTATAATGGAACCTTACAAAATTTACAGAAAGATTACAATGCAAGTAAATTTGGTTTCAAAGACATCAATTAAAATCTTAAGAATCACATCTCAATCATAATTTTTTCTTCCAATTCTTCCTAAAGCGTGCAACAAAGCAATTTCGTAAGACATTTAATTAATTATTAGAAGTGACCCGTGGGGTGGTTATGGTATTCCTCTTATTTCTTCATTTCCATCTCTCATTTAATATCGTTTTATTATTGAGAAGAAAAAATCAAATCAATCAAATGTAATTAACACACCAATTATTCCCATGAGCCCCCTTGCAGTGCTTTCATGTAGTTAAGTGTCAAAGTCGTACCGAGTCAAAATGAATACCGGAGGACGAAGATTATGACTGACAAATGCACGAAGGTCATTCGAGGGGGTCACATCTGTATACACACCGTCTTAGCTTATCTACATATACATCTGTCATACCTATCACTTGACACCCCGTTGGCAAATATTTTGGAATCAGATTTGATAGGCCCCTGTTATCTTCGGAATTTTCTCGCACGCGACTGTTCCCGCTAAAATGAACTGTTTACAACCATTAACATGTATAGCTATTAAAAGTATTGGAAGATGGTAACAACAAAACAAATAGCTCATTGCTTCCTTCCCCTGTATGCTGTCATTAGTCTGGAGATTCCTCAACCAAACATCCACTGTCAGAAAGAAACAAAGGAGGAAATATATAAATAAAGAAAGATAGAGAGAAATAAATAAAGAAAAAGAGCCTGTGCAAAATTATAAATATCAGAAAAAAATGTCACCCTACCCTCTCCAGGTTTAACTGAAAAATGCACATTTCTTGTGAGTGCGTTTGCTTGAAAGCATTTGACTAGATGTTACAATTAGTTAATACTATTTGTACTGAAGCTAGGAAAGGGAAAAAAAGCATATGTTTGAATGTATGTAAAATCATTGCACACTGAATAAAATGCACAGTTACCTTTGGCAGCCTGTATATGTTATATCTTTCGTAAATTTAACACTTATTTACAGTCGTTGATGATTAGTCGTTCAGGTTCTCTCTAGTCGCAAATGGAATATTTCAGCAATTGTAGTGATTTTTTTGTTTTGTTTTAAATGTCTTGTGGAATCGGTACTAATCACTGGAACCCAATGACATTTTTTTGTTGTTTTTTATATCAAAATCTAATTCAACAGAATTACAATAAACATATAGAATGACATCATTTCTGATCAGCTTATAGCTAAGTGAATGTGGAGAACAGATGTACATGTTTTTAGGCTTCATATAATTATTGATGGATATTGAAATATTATGGGCTCTGGAT